CCCCCCCCTCATCAGCTCCATCTCTCAGTCCATCATCACAGAAACACTGATCCCTTCTTCTGACTCTTCTCCCACCCAGTCCTCCAGGGGCTGTCTCCAAGTTCGGTTCTCTCCTTCACCCCTAGCTCTGTAACTACCTCCCCACAACAACCCAAGCTTCCCTAAAACTGCTCTCTTCCCACCTCCAGTGACAAATCAGCTGGAAAATCCAAAGGGTGCTTACTGCTTCTTAGCCCATCAGGCACACAATGATGTGAATCACATCCTTCAGTTCCGAAACCATCAACATCGTCGATCCGCGGGTTCTCCTCCCAAATTCCCCAGTCACTTGTCTCCTTCACCAGTTCCTCTCCCCACCCCCTGCCTCCCTCCCAGCTCTCTTTATTCTACCTCTCTTCCTTCCTTTAAAGACACATTTGTCACTAGTGTTTATACGGAAGTGACTCGTAAGGTGACTCCCAACAGCTCCCATTTCTCCACTGCAGTTTTATCCAACTACCCTCTAGACACAAACTGTCTAATCACGACACTTCTATGGGCTTTTTTTTCTGCTGTGTCATCCCCTTCAAACCAGTTCTAGTGATTTTTACCAGCTAAGAGGTCTTAGAACTATATCCCTTCCCCCATGCTTCTTAGGACTACCTGAGAACTAGACTTCTGTTTATGGTCTCTGACTTTTTATGGCCTTGAGAATGGCTCCTAAGCACTTGAGCACAAATACAGGATTGTCCATGAGTTTCTTATCAAGGAAAAAAAAATTAAACACTCAAGCTTCACTTGCTTTTAGTCAGCATGGAGACACTGATTTTGAACGTCAGACAGCTGGGTGACACATTATTAATCTCCACGAGATCTACCATGGGTAACATCTCTGTTATGTGGGCTATGATCGCAATGGTTCCCTGGGTTGCTCTTTAAGGAACTTTAAGGCTGCTGATTCTTCACATACGCCTCGTGGGTGACTGAAAGTGATGAAAGGGCTCGGCATCTTTCTCCTCATACTGTGTGACATTTGTTAGTTGGTTATTGTTGTTGTTTAGATGGTTGGTTGGTTGTTTCATTGGTTATTTTTCCTTCTCCTCCTGCTCCTGCTCCTCCTCCTGCTCCTCCCACTCATTCTGCTCCTCCTCCTCTTCCTCCTGCCCCTCCGACTCCTCCTGTTCCTCCTCCTCCTCCTGCTCCTCTTCCTCCTCCTGTTCCTCCCACTCTTCCTGCTCCTCCTCCTGCTCCTCCTCCTGTTCCTCTTCCTCCTGCTGCTCCTGCTCCTGCTTCTGTCTTAACCTTTGGATCTGATACTCAGCTCTGCAAACAGGCAAGCTGACCAATGAGAAATGATTTGTTAGAATGCTAACATTTTAACTTGATCTAGTCAGCTAATCTTTCTCCTCTTCCTTCAGCTCCACATCAGTAAACATCAGACTTCGGAAGGAGTGAAAAGAGGTGGCTCTGAGCTCCTGAAGTCCCTCACCTGTTGTCAGGTGCATTACTCTTTCTTTTTTCTTTCTTTCTTTCTTTCTTTCTTTTTTTTTCCCTGGAGCTGAGGAGCCAGGGTCTTGCGCTTGCACTGAGTTAAATCCCCAACCCCTTTTGTTATTTTGTCTCTCCCCCCACCCCACCCCCGCATTATTCTTTACAGAACTTAGTCTCTCTCAGTATAGGACATCTGTAACTCTTCAACTCCTTGAAACTCAAAGACTAATTTGTGAGCAAAGTTCCCTCTTTTCCACTCTTCAGTCATTGAATAAGCCCCTTACTGCCCTCATCCTCATATCCTAAGTACTGATTTGTCCATGACATGAGCGTCTGGACCTGGGTTCCAGATCCCAGCAAGCTGAGCTGTCCTGGGCTTAGATCTTCAGAATTATCTCTCTCTGTCTCACCCCTGTCGCTCATGAACAATTCAACAAAAGGCCAACACTCCTTTCACACTCAACACTGCACGGCCCTGCCTTCTCAGCATACACTATTACAGATGTGTTCAATTGGGCCTAGATGCTGCTACCCTTTCCCTCTGTACCCTTTCATCTGCTGGAAACGAGATGATGGGCGCCCTGTCATGCTGTCTGTGTGTCTATAGTCCTCACTTCCCCAAAGGACTTTTACTAAACACATTTAGCAATCGGGGGTTAGGGGGACATATCCTGTATGATAAACACACACTAACTAAAGGACTTAACTTTTCCCAATTCTCCTGCTGCCTGCGAATCAGCAACAACCCGATTGCAAGCACCCACTACGAGCTAATCACCAACTTAGTAGCATGCCCACATTCTCAGACACCTATATGAAGGGACCCTGCTTAGCCTTGCGGGTCTTAACTCTCTTTAGAACCACACCACACCCACCTGTTAGTTTATGGTGTTAATGCTTCCTCTAACAAATCTCTTACCCAGAAAGACAATCCCTCTCTCTGTCTCCTTTGAACCCCCAAATCTGGGACCTTTCAATGACTGGATACACTTCTCCGTCTTCTCTCTCTCCCTCTTCTCATTTCCCAATACTCTCCTTGTTGATAATGCCTGTCTTACAAGGTAGGTGTCCAATATTACCCCTTCTAAGATGTATTTTCACATTCCACTGGCCTTAAGAGCTGCCTCTCCTTGGTGTGACTGTTAGCTGCAAAACTGGAACTTTTATGTGCATGCCAAGTAAGATGCTATCCCTTTAAATGGCAAATGACATCCTTTTAGTATTTTGCTACTGTGATCAGATAATACGCCAGTTTAAACCAAGCAAAATCGTTGACTGACCCTCGGTTGACCGGAGTAAACTTTGTCTTCCAATACGAAATCCTGTGTATGCGAAGTTATAGTCTCTGGATGCTCCCACCCACCATTTTTGAACGTGTGATTTATGAAGACGTTTATCCTCATGATCTCCTACTGAATGTGCTCAGGAATGCTCAAGAGTCTACATGTGTTGACAACTCTTTCCAATATGAATATGCATGCGTCTTCAGAATGAAATCCTTGGCCTTCTGTGGGCAGAGAGACATTGCTTTTGGAGAAGTCCTCCTATGGCCAGTGATGTCCTTACTGGCTGCAGGTAACAACCCTTCCTTCACTGACTCTGCTTACTGGCACTCACAGAGGAGTAAACCTTTCGGGTTTGGTCATACTACCACAGCACTCCACTGTTAACCGTTCACTTCACACTCTTCTAAAGTTCTTTATATCTCTAGCAACCAACCCCAACTACACTCAGTCCCTCAAGCAAGCATATCCACAATAGATATTCAACCTGATCACTATGCATGTTAAATGTCAGGAATACATATTTCCTGGTCTGCCTCTATAACTCTAAGGACTCTGGGATTATCCCACATGACCCTTTCTCAGACATCGCTTCTTTGACTGGAAGGTTCTGCTGCGGTCACGATGTTTTAATGCTCAGAACACACGGCAGTTGGTGCGGCACTGGTGGTAAGCGTGGCTGCCCTCCAAAGTACACCGCAGTGCTGATTGCAACCTCCCGCTCAGGCAGCGTCAACGAAGTAGAGGGCTGAGACAAACTAAAATTAGCCACATTCTGCCATCCAACATAGCCTAAGACTTGGCAAGACAATCTTTTATGCAGGCACAGTGCTGACAGAGCATGGCGAACTGGAACTCAACCAAAGGAGAAAACCTGCAATATCTTTAATGCAGGAATTCTGAGTTCTGCTGACTCATTCTGACCTAAAGCTGCAAGAACACTTGAGTAAGGAGCATCCAAGCTTACTCGGCACCTTTTTCTTTTTTTTTCTGCAGAGCTGACAGAATCTGGCATACAAGAAATGTAATAGCCTTCTGCAATTCCTCCGATGTTGGCTGCGGTCACCTGCATTATAGTGTCTGGTAGCATTAAATAATAGATTCTTATAAAATGTAGTCCTGTTTCAACTACTGATGAGAGCTGACAATCCTGTCTGGCGTTTCTGAAGGGAGTCACACCATACGGGAAGCCACCTTCACCAAAGGCTCGGTACCAGTTCGAGGTGAACTCCTCAGTCCTGGATAAGGCAAGAGCTTTTGCTCACGCTTTGCACAAGAACACCCGTGCAAAGGGCTCCGACTTGGGAAAAAGCATTTAAATACCAATATAAACACAGACACAGAGACAATGGGGTGAATTTTCATCAGTACAAAGTTTCAAAGAACCTACATTAGTGCAAGTCCTGAAGCAAAGAACCTTCTCAAAATAGATTCTTCTGAGTCATTGTTTACTGTCTTCTTCCTACAGAAGTCGTGTGTTGCATTATAAAAAGTAAAATGGAAGAAATTTCTAGACTGAAGTCTAATTATGCTTCAGTCAGTAGTTTATTATGCTTCTTATATACTGATTACTACAGTTAGCATTTAATTAACTAGCATTACTTCAAATATTTATTCCATTTAAAATCACAATATGACAAGCCTGGGCCCATCAACAGTCAATCATGAATCAGGGAGGGGTTCACAGGGCCCGACTCCTCCTTCCTGAACTACTGGCTATTGATGGATTCTGGGGGATGGGTGCTTAATTGTCTTTGGTTATGTACCAACTGATAAGCCCACCAGATTCCAGTGGATAGTTTCAAATCCCGCAGACACACAGACAATTCTGGTTAAACTCAGTGGGTCTCAGAAAAAGAAAATAAGATGTGAAGGTGGAGAGGAAACTTAAAGGGGAAATGGGTGGGTATTTGAGGTGGGAAGGAGAGTATAAAAGGTGAGGTTATAGTAATCAGCATGTTCTTTATATATGTACGAAAGTACCAAATTATCAACAACTCAATAAAAGTTATTAAAATCCCAATATGTAAGTTCTCCATTTGGGACATGTAACAAGTTAAATGTCTTCCTTCGGGAAAAGGAAATAAAGACACAGTTACTATTCAGACCTCCCACTCTTCCTCAAGCATTATTTGCCACATAATCACTAGAAAATACCAGTTGCTTCAGCCCAGACATTGTTTTGATGAATCTTAGAAATGAAGCTTTACTGCGCCTGCATCCTGAGAGGATTTGCTGTATACTTACTTGTTCAGTATGAGGTCGAGAATGAACTTGGAGCCAAAGGCTTCGATCTGGAAGCTCGCCTGGGCCAGATGGACAGCCTACATGCAAAAAGACAGAAGGAAACTTAGGAGATATTTACAGGACCAGCATTTTCATGTAGACTTTTTTTTATGCATCTTGAGGTATTCATCAAACTTCTTCAAAGGACTAGGTGTGCCATCTTGGTTCTGTTGGAAGGCCGACATATGTGAGCAGCAAAGAGCTAATAAAGGATCCTCCAAAACAAACCCATTGAGGCAAGACTCAACAACATGTCCTGCTGGACTTCCAAAGAGACCATGATAAATTGAGCAGAACTCTAATTAAGGCTTGACTCTGGACTATTTTGTCCAGAGTCCAGATGAAGTTTGCTGCACACCTAAATGGGAAATCATATCAGCATTCTGCCTTTCCGTAGGAAGAGGAACTTTCTCTATGTGATGTGTCAGCAGAATGTGAGAATAAAATGAGATGGCACAGCCTGCTGACTTCTGAAAGCATTTGGAGTGGAGCCACTCCCCTGGGAAGAGCACATTTACAACCCCCTTTAGGAGTCACACATTTACTAATAATGCCTTAATTCAAAACCCAACAGTAATCCCATCTAAGCCAGAATCATATTTAGCAGGTGTTAAAAGATTAGCATAGGCCAAAGAAGCACCCGGAATAATGTAAATTAACAAATCAGTGAAGAGCTATCAAAGTGTTATCCAACGGAAGGCCTTACTTTGTTATCCTATCAAGTTAAAAAAAAAAAGACAAGGATCTATGGAACAAGCACACCAACTTAGACTCATTCCTCAGACACAGGGAGTACCAAACAACAGATGAACTGCTCTTTGCCTGGTAACACAGACCAACTTAAACACACGAGACATCCCCTCTAAGGACTGTGTATTCCCAGCTCCCTCCATTGCCACTCCAGGCTCCTCTCAGCCCTCTCGGCCATTATTATTTACCAAATGCTCCCATCCTTCAAAAGGCATCCCAATCGCCTTCCCTCACACACACTGGAGGAATGAACTTCGGTCCCCAGAGCTGCAGGAACACTTTACCGGCCCTCCCCTCCTGGGTCTGGTGGAGTGTTTGCTTCCTTCTGTTTCCCTACAAGGACAGTAAACACCATGACACATGTCACAGGCAGCTTGCAAATGACTGTAGATTAATGACCCTTCCTCCAAACCATCCAAACCTTCAAATAAGTCACCAAACACTTATTGTCAAGGCTATTATCTTGCCGCAGCCATAAAAAACACCATCAATAAAACTATGGTTTTTACTTCAGTCAATCGCAAAGGCCAGTTACTCCATAAAATCAGTAAATATAATTTTAAAGGCAATTAACACATACTCAATCTTAAATGCAAAGCAGTAAGTGGTCCCTGCTACCCCAACGCCACTGGCGTTCATCCCGAAGTCCAAACCACACAGAGCAAGATCATCACACATGTCCGAGGTTCCTGCATCTGAACGTAAAAAGAGGAAGCACCCATGCTGTCAAGTGCAGACTCTGATTTGCAGTGGCTAGCCAGCACAAACTGTGTCGTCTTTACACGAACTCATTTTGTATCTTGCACCATCAATTTTTGCTTGAAGACAGCTATACAGATGACTAAACAAGAGAAGGTTTTTCAGCGATGGTTTCCAAAAGCTTTAAACTTAAAAAAAAAAAACCTAAAAACTTATTTCCTGAGAATATAAGTACTTAAGCATATTTTCCTTATAAAAATACTATATAGCAAGAGAAATGCCCACTTGTGGCAACCTGGCCTAACCAAGCTGATCCGTAACCACCTGAAGCTTCTTTGCAAACTCTTAAGAACCTGATAGCAACCCAGGGAAAGCTTATGTTCTAGCAAATAAGCAATGAGACAAATATAAACACCAGGAGGATCTTTTTGGAAAATCGGGTAGCCTGGTGGTAAACACGGCAAACCCATTTTGTGCAACCGCTTGGACTTACACAACTTGATTTTTGGCTAAGTTTATCCCAAGTCAATACGACAAGCTTCAGTGCTGCAGAATCCAACCACACAAGGCTTAGCAAATAACACTGGGTTTGCCTTTTGCCCTTCCAGGAAGTCCACTGCACGGCTCCTCTGAAGGTACCTTATAGGTTAAGACATTTGCAGTTAGAAGGCACAGTCCCAGGGAACCCCAGCCACAGTGTCTAAGCAGCCACCACTATGAAGGCTGATCCACACTCAGAGTGGCCTCAGGACAGCAACTGTGGACCAACTTCCCTGACATAAGTGCTCCCTGAATAAAATTTCCAAAGGTAAACTAAGAATCCACCTATGAGGGGAACAAAGATGTATTTACAAAAATAGGGTCCAAAAAATGAATGTGGGAACCAAAGAACCCTGTTCTCATTTTTAAAAAATATGTGTGCCCTGTAGGCAAATAACCTGCGGGGTAAATGTCAATGGAGGGTTTTTGTGTGACGTGCTCGGTGACTTATGATGGCAAGTGTGCACGTGTACCCGAGACGGCCACCTTCCCTCCAAATGATCATTCCTTGCATTCACTCAGCAGTGTCTAGTTCACACCATCACATCATCATCACCATCCCTCTCCAAATCTCCAAATCAGTTACTCTCCAGGAGAGCCAGTAGAATCATCCACAACAGCAACCATGTGCCTGTTTTCCACAGGAGAAAAAAAAATATGGTTCGTTATATTTATTAACAGAGGTGTTTTAACAGTTTAACTTATTTCATTTCTAGGCAGGTAGGTAGCACATTTTTTTCTATAAAAAATAAGTTTATTCCACATATTGATCTCCTTGCTCATACTATCCAAAAAAAAAAAAAAAATCCTGTAAATTCACTTAATAGAGTTGTATCCATTTTAAACACTGTATTTTTTTTCTTACATTCTCTTTACCTTCCCGCTGCTCTTCATAATGCAGTGGTACACACAGCACAGATTCTGCACACTAAGTCCCTGGCAGGGGCTTCTTTCCCTATCATTCTATTATTCCTACATTGTCCTTGACACCACACTTAAACCAATTTTAATTTCTGAACTCAGTTATTGCATTTCAATTTATAAGATTCTTTTAACAAAATTATACAGTTTTAAAAATTTTAAATTTGAAATATACTTTATAATCAGGTCAAGTGAATCCTTCACTACTGCGTGCATATGTTTATGTGAGCATGTCTTTTTTGCTTTTGAGACAGGGTCTTTGGGGGTGTTTTGTTTTTCTTTTGGTTTGGTTTGGTTTGATTAGGGGAGAGGGATGTTGGTTGGTTGGTTGGTTGGTTGTTGTTTTTCCAAAGCAAGGTTTCTCTGTGATTATCTTGGAATTCATTCTACAGACCAGGCTGGTCTTGAACTCAGAGCTCCACCTGCCTCCGCCTCCCAAGTGATGGGATTAAAGGCGTGCGCCACCACACCCACCTTTGAGGCAGGTTCTTACGTAGTCAGGCTAGACTCAAACTCACCATGTACCGGAGGCTAGCCTGAATTCCTGCCACTGCATCCCATGTGCTAAGGTTATACAAGAAAAATATCGTGCCTATATCATAATGTTTTATTTGCACACAAAAATGCATACATGTATAGCTATATGGTATCACACACACACACACACACACACACACACACACACACACACACACACACACACACCCTTCCAAGTGATAGGAAATTAGATAAATAGCAGAAATGAGTAGGGTTTTGTGTAAGACAGTACACCACTTCTGATTTTGCTCCAACATGAGTATAGAATTGACAAGATGGTACACATGGCTGCAAATACAAAGGCCACCTGAAGTACTGTTCCTCTCTTAAAAAGAAGGGATGACACCTTGAGGTTTATGCAGCATGGCAGGTCAGCTGTTTGCTCCTTTAGGATGTCTGTTAAACAGCCTGGTTTTTGTAAGGACACTCTCCGTAATGGCACTGAGGAAGGACACAGAGTTTTATAGGCAGGAAGCATCATTTCAGAAGAAGGAGTGCATCGCTGGGCTCAGAATTACCACCCTGAAGGACTGGAAACAGCTGCTGTCTCTGCACTTGGGTACTTTTCTTGTGACTAAGAATCTGGCCCAGGGAAATTGCAGGAGCTCCATAAACAAAAACAGCTAACCGCAATTATCCACACAACCCTCCTTCGCTAGAGACAATTCACAAGTCTAACAGTACCCTTTTATTCTTCTGGCCTCTCTCTCTCTCTCTCTCTCTCTCTCTCTCTCTCTCTCTCTCTCTCTCTCTCTCTCTCTCTCTCTCTCTCTCTCTCATAGACAGCACCTAATGCTACCCATATTAAGCAACTTTAGAAGCCCATCCCACCGTAGGCCAGATGCCACTGTGTGCTTTATCATCACACAACGCCATTGATATAACACAGGCAGCCAGTGTCAGGTCCACTGCATATGCTGAAGAGGCACAGTGAGCTGTTCCTGAGACATATTCAAGTTAATAGACATGAAAATGAGGAGAAATATAGCTCCACCTATAAAAATTAAAAAAAAATGGTCATTTGAACATACGCACATGATAATGAAACCATGTTTCACACGGTATTCACTGCCTTTTGTGAGAGTTGAGCTATCTCAACCTATCACTAGAACTAAACCGGGGAAATAGAAAGTCTACGCTTTCCCATTTACAAGACCCAATTTCAGCATCCAGTAAAAACTGAGAAAGGTGCAGAACAGAGAGTCTGTGACGTCAATCGCCACGCCTCCTTAGTTACGTGTAGATGCTCTCTGCTCCACTGTGGGGCTTGGGAAGCAGAGGACAATCTGGAAGCAGCTTTCCCTTAAATGTGTTCTGTTACTTATGGAGCCACTCACTCAAGTAATAACTCACTGAACATGACTGGAGAGACAGACACCTTGCAATTGGGAGCACTGGCTGCTCTTAGAGAGGAGCTGAGCTCAGGTCCCAGCACCCTCATCAGACAGCTCACACCCCTTGTAACTCCAGCTCCGGGCGCTGACATTGCACTCCCATTCACAAGCACACACTCAACACACATATACAGACACAATTTAAAAATAAAATAAATTCAAGTGACATATTCACCCCCCTCCTCATGTTTTTTCTT